TGTGGCACACTCACTCACTCGCTTACTGACTGCAGTCTCCTTTCGTTTGCCTACTCCTCTTCGGCGTCGTCACCAGAGCTTACGCAGAGGAAGAGATACTGACTACCGCAGTCCTTTCTCTTTGCGGATTTGACGTATTAACTCCGGACCCTCTACCGTGGTCTGTCCCCCTCCGAGACTTCTTCTACTGCCGACTGGTATCCTACAAAAGTTCCCATGACGGATGGAAAGCCCCTTCTAGCCTATCTGGTGCTCTATTTGCTTACACGGCTAGCTATGCAATGGGATCAACCGTCTGAACCGATCTAACCGTTGTTTGTTTTGTTTACGTCTTGTTCGGCACCAGACCCGTAAGAGCAAGACCCCTGTTTGTTCCCCTCTGCCTATACCCATTCATGTTTACCTTTACACATTTGAGAGGGGAATCATCGCCGGAAATGGTATGGAGTTATTGACTTTACGTGATGGCGGCAGACGGGGAGAGGTGTAGTCAGGTAAACACGGACACGGATCTTTTTCACCCGTTTTACCGCGGTTCCTGGTTTTTATGTGGTAGGTGGTTTTACCAGAGAGGCTAGACTAGATACGTTCAAAGGCGTTCGTCCGCCCTTTCTTTCCCGCGCGAAGGTCTCGGTCCGTAGGGACTTGCGTCGTTTCGAGCCTTGATCGTTGTGGTAGCTTTCTCCTCCGAGGGAGGCTGCCTGCGGTACCTACACCTTTCTTGGGCAACGTAGGTTACCCATACACGCCGCCTCTTTTGGCGTGGTCACACACACGATTACACAAATTGAGCTCACCCCGGATACACGGAAAGATGTAGCCCCGGGGCGGCGCGGCGATGGGGGGATGGTCACGACATTTGAGACATTGCCGAATTAGGTAGTGATTGGGTTCTGTTTCTGGGTGACTAGCCTCCCGTCTCTGGCCTTGTGAATATGTGTACGACCAACCAGTGGGCCGTCGTCGTCGTCGTCGTCGTCGTAGTTGTGTTCCTTGGTGTGGTGCTCGTCGCTGTCTCGCACCTTTCCCGCCTTACGCGTATTTTCCTCTTAGCGAGAAGCTTCTCTCTTGCTGTTCCTCTGCTTTTAACGATAGCTTCGGAATCGTGGAGAGGTAAGTAACGTATGCAGGACTTTGTGGTCCCGATTTGTGGTCTTTTGTTTGCAATCTATCAGTGCGCCGGGAAGTGCTTCCCGGTGATGAATCTGGTACCTCAATCATTTGAGGCGTACTTTTTTGCTTCATTGCGTACATGCTTTTTTACGCGGAGACCCTTATTCATCGTGGTCCCCGCTTACCTCTCGGCGATTCGTCGATCTAGGCAGCCTTGTTATCAAATCACTAGGTAGATACCAAATAGAATGTTTATCTCGTTCATCGCTTTAGGGAACTGCGCGCGTGTGTGTGATCGGATCCCGTTCGTCCCGTCCGGGGGAGGATCGTCCCGCCGCCGGGAGGGAGGGAAGGGAAGGGGGGAGCGCTCGGCGGGGTAAGCGGGGAGGAGGGAGGTACGGCAAGGTGCCGATGCCGATGGGAGGAGGAAGGGACGATCTTCTTCCTTTCCGTTCTCTAGTCGCCGACGCCCTCGTTCCTCCCGTCGGCCTTGGGCCTTGTGAAGTCTCTGATATGAGTACGTAAGGTAACGGTCGAGCAGCAGTGGCAGGTGAAGATACCACGCGGTTCTGATGGCCGGTTTAGGGAATATCTTACATCTTCCCTTCATCTTGGCGATTGAACTTGGCGAAGGAAATGGATTGCCAATGTCAACTATTTTCCATTCTCAAAATTGATTAGTGCCCTATCCTCGAAAGGGTGCTTGGGTAGCTCTGTAGTAGTCTCAGCATTTGTTGGAGTACTCTCTTCTGTGTTTGCCATGCTCTTTCTGTCTTCTTGTTTCTTCCTTCCTATTCGGGAGAATCTTATCTCTCGGATCATCATTGGTCTGAAAACTCAATGGTGGAATTCATAAAGGTAGCGGGTAGTCTCTTCCCACATTTTCTCGTCACTCCCATTGTCTATCACTAAGGCATGGGCGGACTAAACTCCGGCTTAGGAAACCGTTTCGTCGTTGGGAAAGGGGGCAAGGAGGTAGGTAATAGGGTAGGAACAGGTGGATATTGTCACATTCTAGCTTCTACCTTAGAAGTCTTGAGAATTGACACCATGAGGCTAGGGTAAGAATTTCATTACTATTACTAGAGGCGGCGCGGGAAACGGGATGATCGTCCTTCCGTTTGAAGGATTTGTGCAAACCGACAGCTAGCTTCGTGATCGTCTCTTTGGCGTTTTCATCAGACTCGCTCGGAGCTTGCTCCAGCCAGTCACTGCTATGACGGGTTGTGAAAGGGCATATGCAGACACACACACACAAAATCACTCGGCATCGAGTGTAGATCCTCCTTCTCTCCACCCTTTCTGATTTCACTTGGAAAGGGAAGCCGTTTCGTAGGGCGATCCATCTAAGAGGTCGAACCTTGAAGAAGACAAGCGATATGCGGAAGGGCGTCTATCACTAGAAGAAAAGGCGTGATGAGAGAGAACGGGTGGCACCCCTCCCGCGCCGCTCAGCTTGCCAAACCTTTCGATGCTGTTTATTCCCCTCCCCGCGCCTTACCGCCTTGAAGGAGGAGAAAGGTGCTTCGATTGTGCAATTGAGAAGGGCGTGGGAAATTCTATATTGTGTGATGTCTTCCAACGATGGACGATGGGGGCGTATAGGGTAGGTAGACTTACACCGTTCCCTATTCATTGTCCATATCGGACCTGTTTCTGTTTATTCCGTTGAATGGGGGTTTGCCCCTCTCTATCCACTCTCTTACCTTCACTACAATGTCTTGGGTTGTTTGTTCCTGCGCGAAGATCCCTTCTAGCGCTTCTACGTTGGATTCCACCTAGCCTCTTTCGGTGCATGCCCTCTCTCCCTCTCTTCATTGACGAAACCACACCCCCCATACTCCGTAGACGAACGGTAAACAAAAAGAGAGAGCAAAACTCCGCGGACGCCCGGCTTACAGAATTCGCCGGGAAAGGCAACCACTCCGACGACTGCCGCGCGGGCGGATAGCCACCACCTCCCCCCCCCCCCCGAGTCAGGAACACCACGATAGCTGTAGCTGGGCTGCCTACCTACCTCAAACTCTTGCCTCTTTTTTTTGTTCCTCATTTCTACAAGCAGCGATGAGTAGGGTAATTCAGGTCGGCGAAGTGGGACATTCGTCACAAGCCACCGTTTCGCTGTTCTTGGTCCGCCGATGAGTATTTCCATTACCCACGTGCTCAACAGTTTTGCCGGCGCCTTTCTCACGATATTCACTCAAAAGTTTCGCCGCATGTGGGATGTTCTCCGAGGGATTACGTCTTTGCACACCTCTATTCATCTTCTCTCCTCCCCTACCTCATTTATGAAACCTAGAGGTAAAAGAAGAGGGATCTAGAGACAAGCTGAATTAGGCTTCCATCACGTAGTTCCCACGCCCCTCGCCCCTCTCTCACCATTCCACACGATACCTGTTCGGTTCATTGATCCCCGAATCACAAGAAGGGGGACTATCTCGCCTCCTCGAAAAGAATGATACGACTTCTTTACCACGTGTTTCGGGCCAGGCACACACGCTTTTAGCTTCTCAAGTGCCGTAGAAAAGTCGAATGATTTCCTGACGGAGAGCTACCTTTGGGGCTGGAAGTAGAAGACATTGGTTGTTTTGCCGGATGTGGTTGAATTTGCCCACGATGGCTTCACTTGGGGACGTTTGACCTGCGCGGATTGAATTCCGCGAGAACGTGTCTGAAACCAGAACGTGTGCGGAAGTGGATGGGCCTGTTGTTCAATATCCCTCACTCGAGTAATCATGTGCTTCATGGGTATCATTCAGCCGCAACACTGCGGCTTCTTACTCCATCTCGAATTACTCTTGCGAGACGGAAAGGTAGCTTCTCATGTAGCCCCATCACTAAGTCTTAGGTCCAGTTGATATTGATCTTATTTACACCTGTGCTTCTACAAATTGAAGAAGTCCCAAGGGTGATGAAGCGATAACGTTCACACCAACTTCCCCAAACCTCAGACAGATATACGAGACAAGCTTACCCGTAAAGTCATCTTCTCAGTAATTCCCGATGATTCCCTATGGTCCAAAGGGAGAAAACCATCAAACACCGTTTCCAATAATTCCCCCCAGCTGAACCACCCTCCCCCCTTCGCCTCTAAAGCCACAACATTCCAAACCACCTCCATCGCACGCTAGATACTCACACACTCTCTTCCCCGTGTCACAGAACACGATCTCGAACGCTCCTCCCCCCTCTGCCCTGCATACGCCAAACCCACCTCAAAATCATTCGACGCAACAAAGGGGGCGGCGAATCGGGTATCCGTCTGTTCCAGCACGATAAGCCGTTAAACTCCAGCGGTGGCCCCAGGTAGTATAGAAAGCTGAGGAATGGACGGCGCGGATGTACGGGTAAGCTAGCTAGCGCGGAGATATTTACATCTCCCTTTGAAAAAGATTACACCGGCCAAAACTTTACATGGTCGGATGAACTGATCCCTCTCACCCTCCCATGATCCAGTAGCTGACACCAGAACCGGGGGTCTAGGCTCTCATGCACGAAGGGTTTCGTCTCGTCTCAACACACCTTCGAGCTATAGATCTGGAGCTTATGCAGTAAGGGTCTTGACGCCGTTCGAACTCTACAAGACGGGAACGAGACTATACAGAAGCATTGAGATAGCTCATACGCCAAAAACAAAACCTCGTAAAGCAAAGTCTAGAAGCATCGATTTCTTCAAAGAGTCGACGGCCCCCCCTTCCCCAGATATACCTCAGACAGAACACAAGACAGGTCATGATTCTTGCTTGTGACATTATTTCCAGCGGCAAAAGGCAGAATGCCAAACGAGTTTCTTTTGTTCCATTAACCTGCCCTACCGAAACCGACCGTATGCATCATCTTACTCCGTACATTAAAGTTTACGACAAAAGAAAATGGAAGAAGTCAAGTTGTCCTCCTTTGTGTTTGTGTGTGGGATGGTGTTTTTGTTCTGCTTGTTCTTTCTCTCGTTATCTTGGGGGAAGGCTGCCTCCCCCAGTTATCTGGTGGCACATGGACTGGACAACCGGTTGATGGTCACGTCCCACGATGTGTAATGTGCCGCTGAGCCAAACGCAAAGTGTCAAGACGTACACATCATCTCTTCCTGTCGCAACGTCTCAATGCCCTGACAACCCATCATGTGTGACTGTTGTGCGCATCCTTACATCCGCAGACGTGTCAAACTGCCAAGTGCCGAACCGAACCGGTTACCCACGATTCCCCAGTTACCTCTTACCAACATGGCCCGATGCACAGTTGGCCATGGTCCCGCCCCCTTCAGCGGATAGAATGGTAAAAGTCTGCTTTTGTGTAGGTGAACCTCCAATGACCAAAAGGGAGACAAGCATATTCTCGCAGTATCCTGAAAACCCGATAGGATACTGATCATTGAGTCTGCTGTTTGCCCTAGGCCGGCCCCCGAAGAAAAAACCTCTTTCCCTCTCTCCCTTGTGTAATGAAGGTATAATGCAAGGACCAAAAAGTGATATGATTAGAAGCGGCCGAAGCGCTGATGCTGCATCGGAATCGCGCGCTGGACCACGGGGAACTCCTAGTTGCCGTAGTGTCCGTTGATGCGGCCGCTGCTTCTGATGGTCTGGCCAGAGTGCTGGTCGGGGTAGGTCTCAAAGTACGGGTGGTTGCAGGCGGCCTTGGCCGAGATGCGGCTAGCGGGGTCATACACCAGCATCATCTCGAGAAGCTCAAGACCCTCCGCATCAAGGTTCGTGCAAAGCGGCAGAGACTCGTCGCGGATCCACTTAGGGAAGGAGCTCTTGAAGTCAGGGTAGGACGTGACACCGGGCCAGACATCCTCGGTCGGCGTTCCGAGCGAGCTGGGGATGAGTTTAGCGACGTGTACAGAGTGAAACAGGGGCTTCTTGTCAGGAACACGTACCGGAAGATCTTGAAGATCTCGTCAATCTCGGAGTCGCCGGGGAAGAGAGGCTTGCGGGTGCACATCTCGGCAAAGATGCAGCCAACGGACCACATGTCGACGCCGGTGGAGTACTGGCGTCCACCAAGAAGAATCTCCGGGGCACGGTACCATAGGGTGACAACCTCGTGGGTGTAAGTGCGCAGAGGAACACCGAAGGCGCGCGCGAGACCGAAATCCGCCAGCTTCAGGTTGCCGTCTCTATCGATCAACAGGTTCTGGGGCTTGAGATCGCGGTGGAGGATGCGGTGGGAGTGACAGTAGCGAACGCCGTCGCAGAGCTGCCACATGAACTTCTGGATGACGTTCTGGCCCAGGCCGAGACGGCCAAGGTACTCGGAGCTGCCCTCGGGAAGGGCCTTGCCGCGACCACCATCGTTGACGGGGAGAGACTCCATGTACTTTTTGAGGTCGAGGTCGAGGAACTCGAAGACGAGGTAGAGCTTGTGGCCATCGGCGTGGACAATGTTGAAGAGGCGCACGATGGTGGGGTCGCGCATCTCCTTGAGGAGGGAGATCTCGCGGATGGCGGTGGAGGGGACGCCCTCGTCCTCGGCCTCCAAGCGAATCTTCTTCAGCGCCACAATACGACCGCCATTGAGAAGGTCTCGGGCCTTGTAGACGACACCGTAGGTACCTGCAAAAGGAAGGTCAGGTCAATATTTGTTTGTGACGGGTGACAGCCGACCGGTGTTGCGTCATGTCATTCTGAGTCGACTGCCCAGGATGGCGTTGTCTGGGGCTTGCTTACCTTCACCGATCTTCTCGAGCTTCTGGTAGTTCTCCATGGTTGCAATGCAGCGTAATCCGGGAGATCAATTTGCAGAGAAAGAGACAAACAGATTGATTGAGTCCGATCGCAGGGTGGTCCAAAGAATGTCGAAGGACGTTGTCACGATCGGGGCGGCCTTTGTTGTTCGGGTGGACTTAGGTTCGTTGTGTGGTCGGTCACCTCGAAGTGTGGAGGGGCACAGCTGAGGGTCTCTCCGGGGCAGAGAGTGAAAGACGGGAGTCCAAAGGGAGGAACGTTGTCGTCGTCAGGGGGGCAACAAAGATGCACCACAAGAAAAAAGGCAGGAGAGGGAAACGCAGAAAAGTCGAGGGTCGAAGGGCCGTTACAAGGGGAGAATCTCCATGGGGTGTTGTCGTCGATGTCGGTCGCAAAAGGCCCAGGCGGGATGGGCGTTTTTCGTTTGGCGGATTGGGCGATGTTTTGTGGTGCTAAAATTGCAATCCGTCGTCGTTGTTTACTAGCAATGAAGAAAAACAAGGCGCGATCTGATCTCACCCAACCAAGGCCGCTGGAGGGAAGGGTCGCGTCCGCGGAAGGTGGTAGGGTGGCCTGGGCTCCCCTGGTTATTGGTGGGCTGCCCGCGTACCTGCTGTGTAGAACCCCCCTTCGATAACGAGCTTATCCCTTATCCGATAGCGATAAGGTCACTGCTGATGGTGGGGTCACGGACTGGCTCACTCTTGATTTTGTACCGCAGAGTCACCAATCGTTCTCATACGATGCGAAGACAGAGGAGACGTGAGAGAAAATTGCCCTGTTGGAATATTTCGTCGATGGACGACAAAATTCAATAACACTCATTTAATTTCATATTACCGATACGGCTTTCTCATACACCTCCGAGATCCATTCACTCTCCTCGTCATGACGGCCGAAATTGTCGAGCTCGACGCTCATGAGCAGCCCTCGGAGGCGATGCGGGCACAGTGGAAGGGATACTCCAGAGCAGACCAAAAAGAACTCATAAATGGAGATTCTCTTGATGATCCGAGATCACCAGAACAAGCTGGGAAATTCTCACAGGCTGGCAAGATTTCGGTTGACCAGCTGGCCGCTGCTTTCTCACATTTGGGCCCGCATGCCGTCGACACATCGTCACTCAAAGAAGTTCCCATCTTATATCACCCACTTCTGCCAGGTACTTTCTCGAATCGAAGTAACTTCGAATTAAAGTATTTTCTAACAAATCTGCTCAAGGCCTCCTCATAGTACCGGATTTGGTTCCTCCAGAAGTACAAAAGACCCTGCTCTCACTGATGATCAACCGAGATCTCAGCGTTCCAACACACCAAACCAATCTTCACCTCCACTATGACCTCCCCTATCCAAAGGCCCAAGACGGATCCGCCGAATCCTTCTTCTCATACCCGCCCGAGCCAACGCCCATATTCACCCCCAAGGACCCCTCCGTTCACAAGCCCCTATCGATCAAGCAGGTCATGGAGCGCCGTCTTCACTGGGTCACGCTAGGCGGGCAGTACGACTGGACGAACCGCATCTACCCAGAGGAGCGCCCGCCCCAGTTCCCGTCCGACATTGCCAACTTTCTCGAGACCCTCTTCCCCGAGACCCTGGCCCAGGCCGCCATCGTCAACTTCTACACGCCCGGTGACACGATGATGATGCACCGCGACGTCAGCGAGGAGACGGACAAGGGCCTCGTCAGCCTGAGCTTCGGCTGCGACGGTCTCTTCATGATTGCGCCGAACGAGCCGGACAAGATCTCGGACGAGGCGAGGGCTACGGAGAAGGAGTATCTGCTTCTCCGCATCCGCTCCGGCGACGCAATCTACATGACCAAGGACTCGCGTTTCGCGTGGCACGGCGTGCCCAAGGTCATGAAGGGTACTTGCCCCGATTACTTGGCCGACTGGCCGGCAGAAGATGGAAAGTACGAAGAGTGGAAGGGCTGGATGCAGAACAAGAGGATCAACCTCAACGTAAGACAGATGAGGGACTGATGCCAGAGCATCGAGCCAAAGACAAAAGAAGAGACAATATTGCAAAAGGTGATTGCTCACTACCTGGATTACTCAATTTCTTTTTAGTTCCATGATTATATCCTGGCCCCAATCACTGCACAGTACACACGACCCACCAGTCCCAGACTTTATGAGTGCAACAAAGAGGCCTCAAACAAACCCCTCAGCTGCTCCCTCTCCTTCTGCAACTCCGTCTCCAACCCAGGCGCCAGCATCAACACTCTAGCCTGCGGAATCGTTCCCTCGACAAGGTCGTCCAGGTGTTCCGTACCGAAGCCCAGTTCCTTGATACCGGCCGGCTGATCACCCAGGTCCGCCAGGAACTTGGTCAGCGCGTCGGCCAGGACCTTTCCAGCGTCCTCCTTGCGCACGCGCGAGACGTCGACGCCGAAAGCCTCGGCCGCCTGGAGATGACGCTCGGGATTGGAGGCGCCCGTGAAGCGGAAGACGGCGGGCGCTGTGACGGCCACGGAAACGCCGTGAGGGATGATAGGGTAGGAGACCTTGTATCCCGCGTGCTGGTAGCCCGGGTTCTGGCCCGAGATGGGGTATGACATGCCTGTGTTATCTCATATTAGGGGGGAAATCTTTCGTAAGGGGTGTACTTTGAGGAACATACCGTGGCAGAGATGGACGCCGGCATTGCCGAAACCGACACCGGCGAGCGTCGCGGCGAGCAGCATCTCGCTCTGCGCCTCGTAGTCGTCGGGGTTCTTGACGGCACGGGGCAGGTACTTCACAGTAGCTCTCAGCGCATGGAACGAGAAGACGTCACTGATGGGGTTGGCGCCCTGGTACGCGGGTCTCAGAATGGGGTTCTTGGGCCGGGGCGTACGCTCGTGGTATGGTATTGCCGTCCACGATTCCAGGGAGTGGCAAAGCACGTCAAGACCGGAGGCGGCTTTCACGGCCGAGGGCATCGTGCGGGTGTTGAGCGGGTCACAGATTCCGAGAGTGGGCTTCAGGTTGCGGTGAGCGACGCCCGTCTTGGCGCGCTTGGAAACCAGGTCGAAGATGGCGGTGCCCGTGGTCTCGGAGCCGGTTCCCGCGGTGGTGGGCACGGCGATCAGCGGCTTCAAGGCCTTGTCCACGGGGCGTCCGTTGCCGAGGGGCGCATTGACGAAGTCGAGGAAGGGAGCATCGGGGTAGCACGAGTAAAGGTTCATAAGCTTGGCGGTGTCGATGACGGAGCCGCCGCCGACAGCGAGGAAGGCGTCGGGCGCAAAGGGACGGGCCCAGTCGATGGCCTCGCGGATGCTGCTGTCCTTGGGCTCTACGCGGGTCTGGTTGTAGACCTTGTAGTTGATGCCCTCACGGTCGAGGGCCTCGCGGACCTGCTGCATGGCGAAGAGGCCGTCGACGACGGGGTCCGTGACGACGGCCACGCGCTTGGCGCCCATGTTGGCAAAGTCCATGCCGACTTCTTGCGTGGAGCCGGGGCCGAAGCGGATGGAGGAGGCGGCCATCTCAAAGGCGTACTCCTTCTGCGGGCCGTCTACGGGGGTGGCATAGCCACGTTTGTTGCTCGTCCGGAGAGGCCTCGGCGTGAAGTTCAAAGGGTTGTGGTGGTGGTGATGGCCGGGGTTGGTATGGCAGGGGCATGATGGCGGATGTGCCTGGATTGTCCGCAGGAGGGACACGGCACGAGACGCCGCCTGTGGCCTTGTGTGAGTGAGGGATCTGTCTTGAGAGGGGAGCAAGTGCTTACGTTGGGGATGACCCGAAGTGAGGGCGTCATGGTTAATTGTGAAAGGATATGTGAGCGATCAATGGAATGGTTGCACCGGATAGTCTACAAGATGACGGCTGACAGGACGCTTCACTCTAAGCAAGATGTGAGAAAACAGGAGAGAAGATGTGTGATGAAGCTGCTGCAATGCTATGTGAGAGAAAGCGATGTCGGATTCGAAGTCCCGCGCCTCCTCCGCACAGGGCTCTCAGACTGGACAGGGAGCTTGGTAATGATGGTCACTCCGGGGGTTGGAGCAGCTTCCCCGCATTCGGACCCCACTTGCCGGCCGAGCGATCTGTGTGTGGGGCCCGTTTGCCGAGGTATATGTACCTGATTACCTCCCTTTTCCGTCCGCATTGACTTATCACATCAACGCACTTCTAGACCATTGAATGAAAGTGGGCAGCTTTTGGAGATGCCTAGTTCTAGGCTGCCTTTTGAGGGCTCAATGAGGGTTTAAACACCATCAGCATCAAACGTCAGGAACGCGAGTACAACCGGAGTGTTAGCCCGCGCTGACAGCGCAACGTAAGCGGAGTTACGTCCACAGTGAGGTAGCGGCACCACTTGTGCCAAATCCACCTGCCCAAAGAAGCTGGCCGAAGGAAGTGAAACCACGCGCGATCTCCAGGCATTCGTAAAAGTTCTGGCTCGGACTTCGTTCAACGATGCAATTGGCCAATGGCTCCACGATATTATCCTCTCATGCTGATGCGGCCCAAGTCAATTGGTCGACGCCATTCGATCCTTCATCGGCGAAGAAAGAAAATGGAACTCAACCGTTTACAATATTGCGACACGCCACTTACGTTTGCTGACCATGATGCTTCTACGATTGCGAAGATGTATAAAGACTGTGGTTGCAGCTCTATAACTGGAACCTTAGGAACAGAGTTGTTTGACTTCTCACTTTCAACTTCCACTCTACAGCAACTCAACTGATTCCATCAAGATGGCTACACAATCAACTCCTCGCGGCCGCATCCGCGATGTCCTACCCAACCTCGACCTCGGAAGATGGCCGGCAGGACCCAAGAACTCCATCACCGATATTCCCGGCGTCCTCGCCTCCACACAGAGCATCCGCACAGAGGAGGGAGTCAACACGGGCGTAACAGTCATCCTCCCCCGCCGGGAATGGTTCAAGGAGGCCTGCTACGCCGGCATCTTCCGCTTCAACGGCTCCGGAGAGCTGACCGGATCCCACTGGATCGAGGAGACCGGTCTCCTCGCCAGCCCCATCGTGCTGACCAACTCCTTCTCAGTGGGCGACGCCTACCGCGGCATCTACGAGTACGCCATCAAGCACTACTCCAACGAGAACGGTGAAATCGAGTGGTTTCTGCTGCCCGTCGTCGGCGAGACCTTTGACGGGTTCCTCAACGACATCTCCAAGTTGGCCGTCACATCAGCACACGTCGCAAAGGGAATCGAGTCCGTGACGGACGACCCCGTGCCCGAGGGCAACACGGGCGGCGGCACGGGCATGATCTGCCACTGGTTCAAGGGCGGCACCGGATCCTCGTCCCGCGTCGTGCCGGGGATCGACAGCGAGGGCAACGAGACGACTTACACCGTCGCCGCGCTCGTGCAGGCCAACTACGGTAGGGCAGCCCACCTCCGCATCGGCGGCTTCCCCGTCGGCCGCACGCTCGCAAAGGAGAAGAAGGACACGCTGGCCGAGGTCATGGCGCACAAGGACAAGAAGGACGGCTCCATCATCGTCACCATCGCTA